CAACAATAACTGGAATTGCCTGGGGCTGTGGTACTGAGCTCATCCCGGACGGAGGAGCTGAAAAACACCAAATTTTTTTTCCCCCTTTTAAATGGCCATATACAGCCAAAAAATTTATCCGGTGGGGAAAAAAGACGGTGATAACACGCCCGTGAAATTAGTGAAAAATGAACGACTCCTGTGTTGTCCAATAACAATACTTACATAGCGTTGGATTAGTAGTCTGAGGTTGATATGACGGATTACCAGACGGCTGAGGCATTGGCGGAAAAGGACCAAATTTTCCGGATGTCTGCGTCACTCCTCCGGGATTTGTACTGGAACCCACTGTTGCCTCTGGAATTCTCGTCAGTTTTATTTTATGAAATCAACAAGCAAAGCACCCCGTTTCTGAGAATATGGAAGAAAAGTGGGTTACGGCGGGCAACCTGATAGTGACATGGACCATACAGTTCAAGAAGGTGTTATTGTATCACAACTACTTCGATATGCTCACATTTTCACCCTTCCAGAGAGGTTTCTTGACTGGGCTAGACGCCGTATAAATATCTATAGACAAAAAAAGTTTGATATTGTCCAAGTAGAACGCTGTGTTCTAAGAATTTGCTTCAGAAACCGATCAGTACTGAGCAAATTCATCTACCCCGATGATGCAGGAATTAAAGACCTAGTTAGTAAGTTATTCTCATAAACGTTGCCTCTTCATAATTATACAGAATTACTACCCGTATCATATGTTAGTTTCCTCCTCTTCCATTTGCTCTATCACTCTTATTACTTTCATGCAATTAAACTTTCTCTCCTTCTCTCCCTCTCTTTTTTTCTTTCACTTATCCTTCTTGCAAATTAGTTACATGTCCTTTCAATACATGGCGGGTAGGAGACTGTATTGATGATTCCCACTCCTACCTGCATGCATAGTTCGGTCTGTGTTTACAGCTAAGGGATGAAACACACAGAGACAGACTGCATCGTGAAATGTCTTCTTATATATGACACCTAATTCCAATCTTATTACTCTATTAGAAGTTTTAAAGCTGAGAAACAGATATAGAAATAATGCTGACCGTATGAAGGTGGCGGAGCAGGATGCGTGTTGCTTTCTCCAGCACCATTCACCATTGCTCCTCCTGAAACTGATAACGAGCAGCATGCACCCAGTGGGACAGTGAAAATGTTCTGGCTCGTTACGCGTCATCACTTCCTAACTGATTATTTCTGATAAGGAGAAGAGACCTGCAGCCTCTCAGATAAGCTCAGACGGTACATTTTCGGGCACTACCAGTGAAAGTAACACGTAAAACACGTGAGGTTGCTTCTAGACACGCAAAAAAACGTGAGGTTGCTTTCTGGCCGAGAAAGAAAAAGAGCGGAGACACGTGCAGAAAGATGGAAAACTGCTTCTCAGTGTAAGCCTTTTGCCCAGAGGGAGAGGGGGGGGGGCTGATCTGTCCCATATCCGAACCTCTCCCAAAATCCCAGGCATCTGAGAATATATCTGCTCCCAAACAAGTTTTCCCCTTCATTAATTCACACGTTCCAAAAGCAAGAAATCGCAACTGTGACAGCTCCAGGACGAGTTCAGCTAAGCGTCAATCGATAAAAAAACATCTGCCACGTGCACGAACAAGCATGACTTCTGCGTGAGGAACGACGATTTCCCGCACTGACATACAGGAGGGTACTAGTGAAACCTAGACAGGTAAAGCCACCAAAAATCAATCAAAAACAAAAATCTCCTGAAATTTGGCGACGTCAGCTGGCACGGTTTCGACAGCGACTGAATGCTGTGACAACACAAGCACACTGATAAAGGCAATGAGTCACTCCGCAGGGCAAACATCGAGCCCCGCAAGTTAGCAAATCTTACCAGTGGGCGGACCCAGGGGAGAGGGAGGGGGGTGGGCGGGGTCTCTAGCTTCCCCTTGCTCCCAGTGGCACAGGCACCAGTGCTACAAAAGCCAGCAAGGTCCAAAGCTAAAACTGAAGAAAACTCTCTCCCATATTCCCCTCGCCCCCCACCCATCTCACCCCGGAAGGGGGGGGGGCGTCCTGGATCCGCCTACGAATCTTATCAATTCCCAAAACTGGGTTTTGCCGCTTAAAGCCTGCGTTTGCTGCCGGGTTTCGGCGAGATTTGCGAAGCTCAAGATCGGGTACGAGTGTTGGGGTTTTCTTGTCAAAAGGTTGTCAGTTTTCTGCTGAGCATCAGAACCCCTTCCCCCCCTCCCCCCGCGCCCCTCGCCCTTTCCGCTGTTCCTCTGCC